GTGACTGGTTACCTCCCCGACTCGCCCCCACCGAGGCTGGGGATCAAACCTGCAACTGAGGTACATGCCCTTGACTGGGAATTGAACCTGAGACCCTTTGGTCCGTGGGCTGACACTCTAACCACTGAACCAACCGGCCAGGGCACGTCATGACTTTTTAATGTTGACACGAAGGGACTGGACTAGAGGTTGCAAACCAGGAGCCCACGGGCGTTCTCTGCCATAGATGGGTGGTAGGTCTGTACAGTACTCTACAAACATTTGAGTTAGTGGCCAAATCTCAGCAGTGAAACATGTTACCTAAAATTCAGATCTCTGGTTCTCTGAGCTAAAAACATAAAAGTAAATAAATAAATAAATAAAAAAGCAAGCCAAGCAATTGGGCGACCAGAGGCTTATACTCTAGTGTGGCCACACTGTTGGAGTTGGGCCCCCACCACCAGCTGTGAGGCTTTCTGCCACACGAGTCCCAGCACTCGCCCTGGGCCTGCTCCACTGGTGGGCCGTCACTGGTGGGTCCTGGTGGGCACTGAGCGCCTTCCAGCTTCAGCAATCTCGTATCTCACTAGACAATGGATCGTAATGAGTAAGCTCATATGCCTGACGGCTGTCCCCTACTCTCCAGCTGGAGTCTGACATGCTCAGTTAACGTGAATTCAGGTCCTGGCACGGGCTGCTTTGTCACATCTCAGCTCCAACATCACCTGCTCAGGAAAGGCCTTTCCCTGACCACCTGCAGGCACTCTTTCACTTCATCCTGTATTACTGTCTTGCCATCCATGCTTATCATCTGAGAGGATCTCACTATTGCTGTGCTCACTGTCTGTCCCTGAAGGGCAGCCTACGCTCCAGCAGCGCAGGGGCCGTGCTTGTCTCATTCTCCACTGTCTCCCCTGAGCCTGAACAGTTCTCAATAAACATTTTGATGAACTTGAATGAAATGAATAAACATAGATACAATCTGTAGAGGGTCCCAAAGGTATGCAGCAGCCTCTCCATCTAGTGTCATCATATTAACACTAGATAGGGGGAGGGAGAGGAAGACAGGTCTTACCTTTTACTCGCCTAGTAGTAATTTTTGAGGGTTTCCTTACAGTGGAATTCTACATGCATTTCCCTTCCCCTTATTTATTTTATTCATTCTCAATGACTTTAGACGACTCACTGGAACATACAAAGAGAGAAAGAGGGAGAGGCAAGTTTCCAGGCCCTCCAGGCCCTGTGCATAATTTATTAGTAGCAACGATCTAAATAGAAGGGTCAGTCGTCAGGCAGCAGCTCTCCAGCAATTACATGACATGAAAACCGCTGTCACTCTTACCCTCTCAACTCTCATTCCACTGAGAACCGTACCAGAAACGAAGAAGGAATTCCACCCAGAAAGACAATTCTGTTTGAAGTTGCCCTGCACAGGAAAAAGCCGTACGGCACAGAGATACTCACTAATTTCTATAAAGAGTTCATTGATGTTTATCGCATTTTTTGCACTGGTCTCTACAAAAATCGCATGGATGGAGTCGGCGTAATCCTTAGCATCTCTCTCCATGACTTCTCTGAAAGGCAACGATTGCAAATCAGAAATGTGACCCATCAGTGCTTCATGTTATCCCACCTACCCAGTAATTCAGCAGACTGATGATGACAAAGGATGCCAGGAACGGCTCGTGTCTATGGTTAAACAAAACAAAAATGTACTGCTGGCAATGCATGCAGTGGAGTGATCAGAGAATGGCCCCGCCCGCCAAAGTAATGCCCCTGCGTTGGGAATTATAGAAGTGGTCCACAGAAACTTCTAACAAATGTGCTTCCTGAAAACCCGCTTTCCCTGTTCCAGGATACTATTTCATGGGAGCTAAGCTCAGATCATGTCAAGCCTGATGCAACCAACATTAAATAAATTACATACCTGTCTACATACATCACCTAATTGGCTCCAAATGCCTGAACTCTTAATTTTACTTTGAAACTTGAGGAGTCCAGCCACACAACGAAAAGGGATTTTTCAATGCCAGAGATAAAGTAAAAGCAAGATTCTTGAACTGGATATTGCTCGGTAAGAAAAGGAACACATGATCAGCATTGTAATCTCCTGTTCTAATAACTTACCTTACATCGATAAGATCACACTTATTTCCTGCAATGGCAACTACAATATTAGGTGGACCGTGTTGTCGAAGCTCCTTTACCCAATTCTTTAATGTTGAAAAGGTCTCCTGTAACACACAAGGGGAAAGCAACTGGAGAGCTAAGCAACCAAGAGGGTTTTCAAAGCAGTCTGGAAAACACAATACAGGTCTTACTTCTTTTGTGATATCATAAACAATTATAGCTGCAGCCGACCCTCGATAGTACATGGGCGCTAAGGCACGGAACTGCAGAGAAAAAGAAACAACAAAATTGGGAAAACTGGTTAATGTTTTTTACTAGACTCTTAAACCCATTATCCCTACACAAAAGGTAATCTTTCTTCTAAGCCCAAGATGATATGATGCTTTAAAGCAAATGAGGCAGTGATTACCAAAGGCAACAACTCTAATGTAACACTGAAATGTCTCTCAGAAGATAGTTTAGAATACAGTTTTATAGGAATTAAATATAGTGCTATAAACAATTGTTTCAGCTAAAAAGGCTTTTTAATTGAACTCAATGTTATAGTTTCCAAATTCACTTATTCAATAGTCCTTTAAACTTCGGCTCCTCAAACGATCAAGGAGATAAAAATCATGCTGCAAATAGCTCTCCAGAGAAGCAGCTGCACTGGGGTGTCATGAAGAAGACCCTGTCATATGAATGCTGATGGTACCCCAGAAATGAGGACACGTCGACCCTCCATACTGGGATGAGTCTGTAACTCCATTTCTGCCTAATTCCATGCAGGTGGCAATTCCCAAATGTGGGTAAGTATCTAATTTCATTTACATGAAATTAACTCTGTATACACAGCTTCCTTCCACTCATCACCCGCTCTCTCATCCTGCACACAACAGGAAAGGAAGGAGGGGAGAGAAATAACAGGGAAGGAAAGGAGGGTAGGAATGACAGGGAAGGGAAGGGAAGGCAAGGCCAAAACCGGTTTGGCTCAGTGGATAGAGCGTCGGCTTGGGGACTGAAAGGTCCCGGGTTCGATTCCGGTCAAGGGTATGTACCTGGGTTGTGGGCACATCCCCAGTAGGAGATGTGCAGGAGGCAGCTGATCGATGTTTCTCTCTCATCGATATTTCTAACTCTCTATCTCTCTCCCTTCCTCTCTGTAAAAAAATCAATAAAAAATATATATTTTTTAAAAAAGGGCTAGGCTGAGTAGCTGGCCATGTCTCTCAACCAGTGTGAGACATTATGCTGTTGCTCTCTGCCCAGTCACCTGGGCTCTCTGGCCATGTGGATGTGCTGGTTTGAGCACCTCACTCAGCGACTGTGATGCCAAAATTTAAAGAGAAGATTTTATCTGTAATTGATCTTTGTCTTACACCTCAAGTTTGATACCGGATCCGACATAGAACGGGCTCCCACTGTCCTCCCACCTTACTCTCTGCCCTGGTGGCTAGCCCACCTCAGGTAAGAACTGTCCGCAGAGCTTAACATCTGCTGCACAGCTCACATACAGTCTGCAACTTCTCACCTAATGAGCTTGATCTCTGGCTTTTAAACTTCCATGTTCACTTGAGTTTTACAAAAGAAAGCGAAATTTTGACTGTAAACTCCATGAGGGAAGGTAGCCTGTCTGTTTACATGGTTTTCTCTCTGGGGCCTAGCGCTTGCACATTGTAGAAAAGCCAGAATTGGTGAAAACACAAGTAAGAACTGTTAAGTATGGGGTGATATCAAACTAAAGCCAGACCCCAACCTCAGTGTCATAGGAAGTTTCACTGGTCTCTGTGAGAAAGACCCCTGCTTCTGGACGGAAGCCTGATAACTCCTAATAAAATATGTTGTTTTACAGAGAAAAAAAACAAAAAATACAAGTTAGGAGCAAGAAAGTACTACATAGAGGGAACTGCATTCCTGGGTGGGGAAGATGGGCTGACTTCCAAGGAGAGCATGAGGGGAGCAGGAGTGTACAGGCAAGACAAAGGGATGGCATTAGCTTTCATTTCTGATGAACCACACCGCAACATCTTTACAAGGCTGTTGTTGCTTTTACCTTCAAATTTGGAAGGTAAACTTCATATAGAAAAGTACAAAGATCTTAGGTTTGATAAAAGATCTTAAGTTTTGATAAAATGACATATGTGGATGCACCCACGTAAACATCCCACCAAGATAGTAAACATTTCTACCAACACAGAAAGTTCCCTGATGCTCTTTAACCTTGACAATAACCCGTCTTCAAATCTATGCCATTGATATTGATATAAGCACAATGGTTTTCTTTTGCTTTTAACGGGCATAGACTATCCTTTTCCATTCTTTTATTTTCAAGCTATCTCTGTTTGTATTTAAGGCAGTCCTCTGCCAGCCAGCACATGGCTGATCCTGCTTTTTGACCCAAGCTGCTAAACTCTGCCTTTTAAGTGAAACATTCAGTTCCTTTACATTTAATGTACTTACTGATATATTTGGTCTTACTGATATTATGTCACCATTTTGCTTTTTGTTTTACATTTGTTCCATTTCAAAAATCCTATTCTTTTTTTTTTATATTTTATTGATTTTTTACAGAGAGGAAGGGAGAGAGATAGAGAGTTAGAAACATCAATCAACTGCCTCCTGCACATCTCCCACTGGGGATGTGCCCGCAACCCAGGTACATGCCCTTGACCGGAATCGAACCTGGGACCTTTCAGTCCCCAAGCCGACGCTCTATCCACTGAGCCAAACCGGTTTTGGCAAAAAAATCCTATTCTTTACCTCCCTCTTTTGCATTAACTGAATATTTTTAGTATTTAATTTTAATAATCTGTCCATTGGCTTTTTATCTATACCTTCTTGTATTACTTTTTATGTGGTATGCTTGTATAACTATAATATACATCCCCCCACACCCCCACAGTTGACTTAGAGTTTAAAAATGTACTACCCCATGTACAATACCAGAACCTTGCAAAAGTCTCATTCTTTTTATCCCACTGTCCTATGTGCTGTTGTAAAATACTAGTATTTTCAATCTACATACACTACAAACTATACAATCCAATGTTGTAATTTTTGCAGTAAATAGCCAGTAGCCTTTAAATCAGCTGAGAAAAGGGATTTTTATACATTGCTTTCTATGGGTCCGAGTTACCACTTTGTGTCACCCGTCAGCCGGAAACCCTTCTGGGGCTGCTCCTGCATCCTCCCAGCATTTACTTTTCTAAAACTGTCATTACTTTGACTCCATATTTGAAAGATAATTTGGCAGGGTGACTTTTTTGCTTTCAGCACTTTAGAGATGCTGTTCTACGGTCTTCTAGCCTGTTTGTGTGGGACGTTAGCCATCATTCATACTGTCCCCCTGCACATAACGTGTTTATTATCTCTGCCTGCTTTCACTAGCTTTTCCTCTTTAACTCTGGTTTTCAGCAGTTTGACTATGATGCACCTTAAGGTAGTTTTCTTTGTATTAATGGGTATGCTGAACTGCTTGGATTTGTGAGTTGATATGTTTCACCAGATTTGGGAAATTTTCAGCCATTATTTCTTGAAATATCCCTTTTCTTCTGTCCCCGCTCCCCACTCCGGGGTCTCAGTTACACAAATGTTAGACTGTGTGGATTTGTCCCTATGGTACCGAGATTATGCTCATTATTTTCCCACTCTTCCCCTGTTCTTCTGATTGGCTCATTTTTGTCACCCATCCAGCAGATTTTTCATTTCGATGTTACAGTTTTCAGTTTTACCATTTCCATATGGTTATTAGTTTCCATTCTGTGCAAGCTTCCCCATCTGTACAAAGTAGATAAGACTACTTTTCCTTAAATCTTTGAACAACTTAAACTATCTTTACCTTCTCCGAGGAGTGTGAAATTGCTGACTACTCATCGTGAGATTGGTTTTGCCGGTGGTTAGGGTAAGTCTGTCTGGGTCTGTCTTTAGTCCTTGGACATGGTGTCTGCTCCTGAGGCCGGATCCTTCTGAGGTTTCAATGGAAGCCCAAGGTGTTTACCAATCCCTCCAACACGGCAGGATTGGACTCAAACTCCAAACTGAATGTTTCCTGCGACAGACGAGCAGCAGCCCAATCTCTGCTCAGTCTCGTTGCCTCTCTAACTGTGCCTTTTGTTGGGGGCCTCAGTGTCTTCCCCATGCATTCACAATTGGGGGTCAGGCAAAGCCTTGATAGGAATTTATAAGCAGATTTTAGGGCTTCCCTCCTTGTTGGGTCCCCCTTTTCTGGGACTCGCCTCTTCTTTCCTCTTCTAAATATTATTTGTCACTTCTCACCAGGTATTAAGATTGGACTCAAACTCCAAACTGAATTATTTCTAAGACAGACGAGCAGCTTGCCATGTTCTGCTCAGTCTCGTTGCCTCTCTAACTGTGCCTTTTGTTGGGGGCCTCAGTGTCTTCCCCATGCATTCACAATTGGGGGTCAGGCAAAGCCTTGATAGGAATTTATAAGCAGATTTTAGGGCTTCCCTCCTTGTTGGGTCCCCCTTTTCTGGGACTCGCCTCTTCTTTCCTCGGTTGCTCTAGCAGCCCTAAAGTCTGTCCTCAGCAGCCACAAGCTAAATAGACAGGCTTTCTACTCGAGTCTTAGCTACCCTGTCCCACATGGACTGGGAGTGCCCTCCTGGGAAAACTGTAAAAATGTGGGTTTCCCCCAGTGGAGTCTCTGGCTGCATCTGGTAGTACCTTCTGGTAGATGCTGTTTAATGTGTTGTCCAGTTTCCAGAGAACTGTTGTCTGTGGGAGGGTGACTCCATTACAAGCCACTCCGCCGTTACTGACATTGGAACTCTTTCATGTCCTTTTGTATAAAGGAAGGTGGCAGCTTGAATAGAGACTCAAAGGATGTCCGCACATCTCTGCTCCAAATCTGGCTCCAGATAAGGGTTCAGCAAACTTTTTCTGGAAAGGGCCAGGTATTAAATATTTCAGGCTTTGCGGTTCACTTGATCTTTGGTACAACTTCTCAACTGTACTACTGAAGAATGAAAGTAGTCGAGGACAATATGTAAACAAGTGTGCGGCTATGTTTAATAAAACTTTATTTACAGAAACAAGCAGCTAGCAAGACTTAGCTCACAGGCCATAGTGTCGACTTTAGTTCTGATGATAGTAGGTTACAGCACTTTTTCCTGATTTGAAACCCAAAAACAGTTCCTTCCATGACTACGGTGACAATAAGTGAGCCTTCCTGGTGTCACCTCCGGAATGAGTCATCCGAGTAGCATGTGAGGATTCAGGACCTTAAACCTTTAAGGACTGGATGCAGTGTCTACTAGACTTTAGTTAAGCAGCTTTCTTTTAAATGATCACAGGCAACTAGTACTTGTGTTGCGACACTTATGGCATATTTATGATACGTGTTTGTGGTGCTTTGTGCACAGCCCCCAGACTACTGTACGAATCCTTGTTAGTGAAGGATGACTGAAAAAATGTCACCTAAAATGAAGTCATTAAGGACAGAAAATAGGAACAAAAAGGTCTGGCAGGCTCTGTCTTGAGAAAATAAATTTTAAGTTATAAAAACAAGTGTCATTTAATCTGACATTTGAAAAAAAACTCAGGTTTATTTCTGCACCCAGAAGCTAGTTTGCTGAATGAATGAGCCAAGCTGACTGGTTCTTCTGATGAAACCGCTTGCTGGTGCAAGGTGACAGCTTCCATTTCATTTCGGCTCTCCTGGTCCAACTTAAAAAGGATAATTTTTACAAAACTACTTGAGAATTCCACCAGTTTTCCGTAGGGCTCTCAACCCTTCTACATACAAATCATTATCTTCTGAAGCACCTGTATCATCATCACTTCATTTAAGAAGATCCGACCATCACTGGCTTTACACAACACCTGTAAGGTTCTCCAGAATCTCTTTCACCGACTTAATGATATCACTCGGCAGTCCACTGCAACTGGCCCATCAAACTAATAGACAGTTGCAAGGGTCAAAACAGGCTTCACCCAAGAGGGTTTTTATTTTACAATGACTTTGGTTCCACAATGAATCTCGTTACTACAGAAAACAGAGGATAAGTAAGGAAACAGGTTCAATGCCATGGATAAGGGCAATCAAAAACTCTTCAGACTACAGAGATGTGCTGAAGAGTTTATCTAATGACTGGTGACCAGTATTGCACATCAGCTCTAGGTCAGGCACTATTCGAGCAGTGGGAATATAGCAGTGAGTGAGCGAGACACAGGTCCCAGCTATCCCAAGCTTACAGTCTGGGGGAGAGACTGCCACCAAAGTGACTAGACAGATATCAATTTACAACTTAGAATGAGGGTCCTAAAGAGAATAAATCAAGGACACTGATGGAGAATGAACTGGGGCCCTATTGGCTGTGGGGTCTGAGGGCATAACAGTTAACTTGAAACCAAAAGATTAGTAAGGAGAGCTGGCCAGGCACCCAGTGGAGGAAAGAGGAAGTTCCCGCAGAAGACTCGCTGTGTGTAAAGGCATGGTGGGCAGAGTCTGAGGAACTGAATGGAGACCAGTGGGCTGCAACTCAGTGGGTGAGAGGGAGGATGGGCGAAGAGAGAAGGTAGAGCAGGCCATGCCAGGCTTTGTAGGCCACTGGTCCTAGGTTGGCTATTGGAGGGGAGCTACAGGAAGATAGTGAAGGGTATTAAGCAAGAAGATAATAGGTCTGGTCTGATTTATGCTTCCAAAAGACTCCTTTGAGTCCTGTGAGAAATGATATAGTGTGGTGGGGGTTGGAAAGAGAGCTAAAGGTGTCTGAGAGCATGGTGCTGGCAGTGGAGGAGAGAAGTGAATGATTTGAGATCTATTTGGAGCAAATGTGAGGGGGAGGTTGGAGTCAAAGATGGCCTCTGGATTCAGGTTGGGGCAACATAGGTGTACGGCATTGTGGGTACTTATCTGAGAACAGCAGAACAGGAAGGAAAATCCACCCTCCCCTGAGGTGACATGAGAGGCGAGTTTTCTAGGTTAAGGTGGGAGCAGGTATTCAAAGCAGAGGAAACAATAGTTCATGGGTGTGAGGGTATGAAATTGTAGGGTACATTGGTTGGGTCCTAGAGGGTAACTGGTCGGAGGAGGTGCAAATGGAAACTCAGGCCAAGGCTGGCATATTCAGGGACTTGGGAGGCCTTGCCCAGGACACACTGCCATCAGAATAAGCTCACAGATATGTCCTGGACGAAGCTCACAGTACTTCAAACCGTTTGTGATTCACTGTTACATGTTTAACTTTTCTGAAATGCAGTGGCTTGGCAACCATAGGCTGGATCTCCTCTCAGGTCTCCCAATGGGGTCTGGGTCCTACGAGCCAGTTCTCTTGACCTCTGCCTGCTGCCTCATTTACATTACCTGGGCAAGCCCCTGGCTAAGAGATGTAGCTTCAGGTAGGGGTGAGGCAGCCTTATACCTCATAGCAACTATTCCTGGTGCAGAATCAATGAGGAGGAGGAGGGGAAAGAAAAGGCAGGCAAACCAGCTAACTATAAAACTTAAACCCTGGGGGGAAAAAACAAAACTTAAACCCTGGCCAGTCTGGCTCAGTGGTTGGATCGTCGCTGTGGACCAAAGGATCACAGCTTTGATTCCTGGTCAAGGGCATGAACCTGGATTGCAGATTCAATCCTAGACTCCAGTCAGGGCATGTGTGGGAGGCAACCAATCAATGTATCTCTCACATATCTTTCTCTTTCTCTCTCAAAACAAAGAACATCTTAATAGGATTCTGCTATTATGGCAGCAGCAAGGGAGGCATAAACACTATTAACTCTTTTTTTGTGGTTAGAAAAAAGAGATGCTCCACATCACAGTGCATACGGACTCAAAGCATTGTGAGCTCTGTATCATAGCATGATTCTTTATGATGAGGGTGTTGCTCTATCATCAACTATATGGGAGGGTAAACTGAAACGGGATTCAGTGAAAGGGCACATATGTTATCAGTCTGAAGAGCCACATGAGTTTTTGGCTAATAGGACAGACACCACAACTGTGCCTACAGATATGTTAAGGAAGGCTCTGTGGAAGCAACACTTGGGAAGGATGGAAGAGTGATGGCTAGCAAAGGCCTAGCTGTCCTAAACACTCCATGCAGATACAGAGTACAAGGCATGGGAGATGGAGGCTAGGGGCTGGATCTCAGATGAGCAATCGACACAGGGTATGACATCCAGCATTAAAACCAACAGAAGCAAGCTAACAGACAAACTTAGGACATTAAATCTGTACAGATGCATGGTGTCTACGTCCGGGACAACAGTAAGGCTGTTTTGTTTCCTCTGTTTGTGATGATTCTGTCAGGTTTTATACCACACACAGTACCTCTGCTGTCTTAGATAAGACCGTGATGACAGCCTATTTCTTCCGATTACTTCTGGTACACTTTTAAGAGCTTAAGATAGCACTGTGCATCCATCAGATGTTCTATTTGATAGTACTGTTTGAAAACAAAATTAAACAGCAGCTGAATAATGGGGTGGCTGCCAGACACCCCTCAACAGGGAAATCAGACTTAGGGCCCAGAGTAAAATAAGGCAGCAGGCAGGTGTGTGTTCTCCCACCCACCTCCCCACTCCTGTATGACTTGGGTGGGCTTCAAACCATCCCCACTCTGCACTATGATGCCTCAGCCCAGTTCCCACGTCTGGTTCAGGCTCTTCCTTAAGCAGATAACCATCTTGGACAATTTTATCATCAGGCATTTATTAAGTACCTATTGCAAAGCACTGTGTTAGCTCATCCATTTCACTTAAATCTCAAACTTTATATGCTGTAAAGTTCCCTCTTTAGCTTTTAAAAGGCAGCTATAAATGAGATGTGCTTAGCTCTCCCTTTCTACCACTAATTCTATCTTTGTGGGAGGACGGAGCCCCAAATTACACACAATGCTCTAAGAGGGATTTTATCAAGCCCGTTAGTCAGCATTTACTTTAAGACACTAAAAAGTATAAAAATGCCCTCAGTACCCATTACCACTTTCTCCATCAGTGGACTTTGTGGTTCTAATTGAAAAGAAAAAGGCTGTCCTATGCAAATAGGAATAAATGTATCTCAGGCGCGCAGAAGAGTGGGTAATGTGAAACGACAGGGACATCAATGGTTTAGTCGGAGCTTTATTTGGGCCTCAGAAAAACACATAGTAAATTAAAGAGTACTTACTCGTTCTTGTCCAGCTGTATCCCAGATTAGGAATTTATGTAGCTCGTTTTGGTACTGGACAGTCTTGGTCATAAAGGATGCCCTATAAAGAGAGACCTAAATGATCAGAATACAATTATTTAAAGCATGTTGCCAGCCCCAGTCGGAAACATCATTTAGACTTAACGCTCAGGCTCCTGCTCCACACTCTGTTCTCATTGTGGTCCCCTCTGGAGTACTTATGAGATGATCAGATACTGGCTGCATAGTCTGTGTCAAAATAAAGCATTACGCACATCTGCCCAACACAAAAAAGAAAGCGTTCTTTGGCTTGTGTCTGCCTAAGCTCTGTATAACTTGGTAATCCAGACAATACTCTCCCTTGTAAAGTACAGAAACTGTTATTTTAAAAGATGGTAACATGGAAGAGCTTTCTATAATAGAATTTAGTACTCTCTTAAAAAACATTAGGCCATTTGGATTTGTGCTCTCCCATTCCCAAACCACATGGCCATATGTACAGCCAAATAAGAGTTCGTGTAAGACAATATTCAAGGAGCAGGAAGATAGCTGAAGAAGCCACACCCTGGTGATCACCTCTGTTTCAGTAGCAAAACAGCCCTTCAGCAGACCTAATGGGCCACATCTGAGCCTGACCTAGTCTTCGATGGGAAAGGAATGACGGTGTGCAGGCCATATCACTCATTCTGAGGGACCATTCTGCCCAAGGGCCTATGAAGTAGGAATCCTATTATTTTGAGGGGGGTGTCTCATACCTTTTGGAAAATCTCTGAGGTGCCATGGTGGTCCAGAGCACATGCCTGGACACCCTAGGGGCTCCTGGACACAGGTTTAGTCTTGCTCTGGGGCTAGGCCTGGCTCTAATACTATCTTCTACCCCCCAATGCACCCAGATAGTTCCATCTTGGGAGTCCTTTGTCCCCCAGGCTCAAAACATCAAAGACCCTGGAGATGACTATCTCTCCTTTTCTACTGGATATTAAGCCCTTGGGGCCAAGGGCCCTGCTGCACTGTTGGAACCATACCCTGAACATCCCATTCAAGCACTTCCAAATACACTGGATGTTTGAAATACTTCTGAGATTCGTGTAATAGCTACATAAACTTTAAGACAGTACAAGATGAAATCGATAGAATGGCTCTCTGAAGAATCACTGAGCTCAGCTAAGTATCAGAATCCTTAGTTTTAAAAAACTTAAATTCTGCTACAATTGAATTCCTGGCAATATTTATATAAATTATGGTTTAGCAAGCAGCCTCCCAAACAGTGACTGTGATGAGGAAGGGAAAGGAAGTTAGAAAGCAAGATCACATTTTTGGATAGGTACTATTTACTGGACATTTATTTATTGGAAATGTACCTCTAGGTATCCTTAGTAAAGTGCTTTATGCATAGAAGGTGCTCAATAAATGGTTATTGTTTTGAGAACTTCTGGCAACTCACCATGATTAAATTAGGACATGCAGCACGATTTCTCAGCAGAGATCTAAGCATTCAATCAGACTCGTTTATTGTAAAAATTAAATGATATGATGTCATAAAAGTGCTCTGTATGTTGTAAAGCACTATACCTACACAAGGTATATTATTATTATTATTATTATTATTATTATTTTTAAAGGCAGCTCCAGGAAACATTTTAGTTTAGACTTTACAATTAGTCCTAAAAGCTTGCAACTCAACTCTCCGTCAATTATGGCTGTGGTGTTCCATTTAAGAGTGACAACGGGTGTCCAATAGAGGCCTATTAACAGAGCCCAGGCATCCAACACATCCATTATGGTTGTGCAAAGAACAAGAGAAGAAATATACTTTCAGTAGACAAAAGGCTGAGAAAGGTATATGTAACAATTAAAAGGAAACGTTTCATTATATGGTTAAAATTCACTGAAGTTCAACCTACCTGCCAACCATTTCCCCCTCAATGAAAGTACAGATTCATTACTCAGGGGAGAGACAGAATGGCAGCTGTCACATAAGTAAAGTATCTGAAAGGATTAAACCCAACTTCCTGTCTCTGACCCCAGGCCATCCTTCCAGCTCCTCCCATGGTCACCTCAACACACCCTTCCTCTCTACACCAATGTCTTCTTGGGTCCAAAGCTCTCCACTTGGGTTTTCTTGGGTCTACATCGTTGGCTTCTTGTCCTTTGATTATCAGCATCATTCACCCACACTGCCAGTTCTTCAGGAATCTTGTCTGCTCTGTCTCAACCACCCAGAATAGCACCAAACAGCCTCTCCACTGGCTTCTTCCACCCAGTGTGGGTGGGGTTGGATGTTTTGCTTGAGGAAAGTCACATAGCTGTGTGGGCCAGTGTGAGATGATCCTATTTCCACTGGGCCACCTCTTAGGCCCCTCATCCCATACAGCAATTATTCCACATTCTTATGACTGCTTTTCAACTCTCTACCACTTTCTACTACCCTCAGGACAAAAGCTCCTTTCTGCCTCTGAAGAGAAAATAGAGGTTAGAAATCCTAAATCCTCCAAAATATTCCCCAGACAACCCTCACAACTTAAGAAGAAACAAATTTCCATTCACACTGTGATTTCCTTTTCTGACTTTAGCTGAATCCGACATGTCTTTTCTTTAATTCACCCATCACCCTTCCCCTGGATCATGATCCCAGCACATCCTGCCACGGCCACTGCAGTCATAAATTAGTCACCTCCTCACAGTCTAAAATCCTTCTAATTGTTCCTGTTTCTGCCTTCACACAGACTGTTCCTTAATTCGTTTCCACCAGTTCTCCTGTGGCAAGATGCTCCTCATTCTTTAGGTCTCAGGTCAATTGCCAAAGATTACAGAAAGCTGTGTGGTCCACCCAAATGAGGCAGCTTCCCACTCCAACTTCACTCTGCAGTACACACATCACCCCTTTTGTCTTCAGGGCACTACTACACTGTCTGATCAGCTTATTTATGTTTGTTTGTGTGTTTGTTTTTTTTTAATTTATTTGTTCAAGCTCTCACTCACCCAGGAGAAATGTAAGCTCCACTAGGGCAGGGACCTTGCTATACTTCTTTCTCATCTCCCTCCTCCATGCTATCCTAGAGTTCTGACAGAGTATTTGCTGTGTTGCTGTCCTTACTCTCACAACTCTAAGATGATCTGGCTATGCCCTTCTCGGAGCATCGCCTATCAAGTGCAGGCAGAGCTGAGATCGGAGGTGACCGTGGCTCTCTAACTGCAGCTGGCTTTGTGGCCTCTAGACTAGGGCTGACTATGCCCAGGGAAGTCTTTCCTGCCTGC